TCCCCCCTTTCCCTCCTGGATCCTCTAGCCCACTCCTCTCATAAAACGGACTCGCTTCACTTAATTTCCTTGGAGATTTATTTGGTGAGGTGGGACATTGGAGGCAGGCGGGGCAGCTGGGAAGGAGAGATCCGGTCGGTCACCATTTAGGGAAAGATCGGATTCCAAAGTCTTTTTGGTCCAGAGGTTTCCCAGCACCAACTTTCCCAGCCAGCCTCTGACAATCCAAGTCAAGGCGAGAAGCGGCCTCCTCACTTAATGACCAAAGTGGCCAAGAGGTTGTATATTTATTTGTTCGATTTATGTGCTGCCCTTCTCGGAGACTCAGGCGGCTTACAATATAAATTAGATATCGATATCGAAGCATTGTTGGAGACCCACCCACCCACTCCGGCTCCCCTCTGGGAGGGGGTTTCCAAGGATTTCCAGCAGGACTCCTGATTCTGTAGGGGCTTTACTCCCGATGCCCTCCGCCTGGGAAACTCAGGATGCCTTTTTCTCACCAGGACATGTACACATCCGAACGAGACTGTGATGTTTCTCTGTGTCAGATAATATAGGTGTGTATGTGGATATATGCATAATATTTATTTATTTATTTATTTATTTCGTCATGATTATGTAGTGTATATTGGAGGTGGCAGCCCTTTGAGAGCTCTATGCAACGAAATTCCATTTTAATGTATGCTGATTAGTGTACATTTAAAGTGACAATAAAGTTATCCTGTCCTATCCTAGTCTGTATTTTCTTTTCTATTATTCCTATTCTATTCTTTCTATTCTATTCTATTCTATTCTATTCTATTCTATTCTATTCTATTCTATTCTATTCTATTCTATTCTATTCCATATTTTCTATTCTATTCTATTCTATTCTATTCTATTCTATTCTATTCTATTCTATTCTATTCTGCATTTTCTATTCTATTCTATTCTATTATGCATTTTCTATTCTATTCTATTCTATTCTATTCTATTCTATTCTATTCTATTCTATTCTATTCTATTCCTTCCAACTCTGTTATTCTATTCTATTCTATTCTATTCTATTCTATTCTATTCTATTCTATTCTATTCTATTCTATTCTATTCTATTCGAGTCCATATTTTCTATTCTATTCTATTCTATTCTATTCTATTCTATTCTATTCTATTCCATTCCATTCATTCCATTCATTCCATTCCATTCCATTCCATTCTAATTCTATTCTCTTTGAAAATCTCAAGGTGGATGCCTGGAGATGTAGTCATGGCAACGGTGTTTACTTTTTTATTAGCTGAGGGTTTTTGCTGCTGCTTCAGTCTGAACCACTTGGACAGGGGGATTCTGGGTAGTCAGAGAGCCGTTGGAATGTACCAACTCATAAAATTCTCAGGGGTCGTCCTGTCTTAACGGTCTTGATCTTCCTGGGGGCTGATGAGAGAGCAGCCCAGAAAATGGGGGACCGGCTGTGTCTGAGGCCTCCACCTCCAGAATAGAATAGAATAGAATAGAATAGAATAGAATAGAATAGAATAGAATAGAATAGAGCTGGAAGGGACCTTGGAGGTCTTCTAGTCCAGCCCCCTGCTCAAGCAGGAGAACCTAAATGATCTCAGAGAAGTGGCTGTCTAGTTTCTTCTGAAAAACCTCCAGGGATGAAGCAGCCACAACTTCTGGAGGCAGGCAGTTCCACGGGCCACTTGTCCTCCCTGTTAGGAAGTTTCTCCTTAATTCCAGGCTGCTTCTCTCTTTGTTCAGTTTCCATCCGTTATTTCTTGTCCTGCCCTCTGGAGCTCTGGAGAATAATTTGACCCCGTCTTCTTTGTGGCAGCCTCCCAGATATTGAAATACTGCTATCACATCACCCCTAATTCTTCTTTTCTTCAGACTAGCCAGACCCAAAACCTGCAGCTGTTCTTCCTATGGTTCAGTCTCCAGGCCTAAACAGGGACACTGTGAGGATCTGCCTTCTAAGTTGCGTTTCTCAGCTTTCTCATAACTTTCAACCTTGCTAAATGAATGGTCATAAGTCAAGGACTACCTGTATTGCAGGCATTCAGAGAATCATAGAATGTAAGCTTTGAAAGGCACCTTCATGGTCATCTAGTCCAACCCTATCCCCCATGCAGGAACCCAATGCTACAAACACACCATTTACATAGACGGATCTCTCATTCTTGCATTTTAATGGGCTTTTCTTTATTTTTATCAGGGAGTTGATGAGAATGATTCAGAGCCAAATCTGATGTCTGACGTGACCTGGAAGGAGAGTCCTATCCAGCTCCATTGGGACCTCAAAGGCCTGAGGAACAGCAGCCAAAAAGGCAAGAGGAGAAGCCATTTCAGTGCTCAATGGGAGGAAAAAGGAAGAGGAGATCCCTCACTTTCCATCAAAGGATCCCCTCAGAAGGAAGATCACCTCAAGGCATGGAGTGTGGATCTCCACCATAGACGTCTGTCAATCTTGAATGGCTTGAACAGATACTTCCCTCCATTTCTGCACATTTCAATGAGGTGTTTTTGCTCCTTTTTCTTGGAGAAGAATTATGGATACATCCAGCCAACCCCTCTGGAGGCTCCAGGACCTTCCTTTGGAAGGTTGACCAGGGATGCCAGAAGAGTCTTCCTGCCAGGGAGTCTCTGGATGGCTGAGGAGAAGCCTCTGTGGGGCTTTCTTGGCTTTGAGATTCTCCCCAGAAGCTTTCAGCCATTCCTTCTCCGGTTTATATGGCAGCATCAAAGGTTTCACGTCTTCAAGAGTTTCTCTCTTGTCTTCCATTGTTCTAATGTCTGCCCTTGTGTTTCTTTTGGACTCTGTACTATTAAGTGGTACCAGCTGGTCTCTGTACATCACTCACCTGCAGAGGTTCTTCCTCAGTTCTTTCTCTCTAGAAAAATCACAAGGTTAGAGATAAATTTGGACCAACAATGAAAGTCAAGGATGCTGTCAGAAAATTTCTCACCTCCTCTGTTTCTCCTCCAGTTCCCTCCAGAGTCCTGCCTTGTTTTCCACAAGCTGGAAATTTTCCTTCAGGAGCTCCTCAAAGTAGACCTAGCTTTATACATGTAGGACTAAAAGTGTCAGGAGCCAGACATTCGTAAGTTTTCTCCTTCTTTTGGAACTTTATTTTACAAAATTAGGGATATTTGTAGTACAATAGATGTTTCAATCCATTTTGGGATTCCTCGGGAGCTTTTCCAAGTTCCTGAAGTCCTCCTCCTGGATCAGGATTGGCTGGAGGAGATCTCATTTGTTTAGAAAGTCAGTTCTAAGCGGCTTCAAGGAATCCTGGTCCTCTCCCTCCCTCAGTCAGGGCTGCTGTCTACGTGTTTCTCACCTCCTCAGCCTCTCCCTGAAATTCCGCAGGATGGTCGCCTTCTCCTCGCTCAACTTCCAGTTCTTGATTTTAAGGTCTTTATTTTCCTTTTTTAACTGAACTCGCTCCTCCGCCATTTCATTCAACATTTTTGAATTCCTGTAAATTAAGAAAAGCAGAAATTAGCCCTCTCATGATAGATGAGGGAGGGAGGGAGGGATGAATTTTAAAGAATGTCAGGATTCCCTTCTAAAAATTTCTCATCTCTCCAGTTGTCCCTTGAGAGTTTTGTTCTCCGTGAGGAGCTCCTGTTTCTCCCCAGCTAGTTGCAGAACTCTGCAGAGGAGGCTCTTGTACTCCTGTCTCTCCAATTCAAGCTGTTATTCAGTAAGAGACGAAGATAAGAGCGAAATTAGCCCCCTCAGGTTTTCACTCCAACCATCCAACCTGCTTAAAACTCCCTAAAAAATTCCTGGCACTTTCTCACCTCCTGTGGCTCTCCTCCAGCTCCCTGCAGAGTTCTGCCTCGGTTTTATGAAGCTGGGAAGATTTGTTCTGGAGCTCCCAGTGTTTGGGCTCCCCTGCTGCACACCTGTGAAGTGATAAGACAAGAGTGCAGACATGAGCCACTGTTGGACACTCCGGTCATTCAAGTCTGGTCAGTTCCAGGACTAATGAAATAACGATGACAATAATGATTATAATAACAATAATAACTGTGTTAATGATAATAACTGTATTAATAACTGAGAAATAGCAAGATAAAGCAATAACAACCTATGGAAGTTGAGCGAGGAGACCATGTTCTTCTATTGTCCCTTTTCAGGGATGGCTGGATGTGGCTGAGACAGAGAATCATTTCTCCTTGGTGAGGAGGGAAAGGAGGGGAGCATAGATGCACCAGCATAGATCAGCATATTCCCTTCTATTTAAATCAGCTCACCCACCCTCCACTATCCTCACCCTCACATCTTATTACGACAGGAAACGAATTCTCAGGTGTAGCCTCTCCTGGTTAAAAGAAAAAGTTATTTGAAGATTAAATTGGGACAAAAAAGAGGATTTTGTTCTTTCTATTCATGATGATACAATAATAACATGAGCATTTTTTGTAAAGGAGCTTCTCTGTTAGTGACTTTAATATACCATGGTGTAAATTTGGGTCGCCTTCTCCTCGCTCAACTTCAAGTTTTTGATTTTAAGGCCTTTAGTTCTTCTTTTAGCTGCCCTCTTTCCTGCACCATCTCCTCAAATAACATTGCATTTCTGTAAATTATGAGCAGACAGAAATTAGCCCTCTCATGATAGGTGATACTAAATATTTCTCAGCTGTCCAGTTGTTCCTTCAGTCTTTTGTTTTCCGTGAGGAGCTCCTGTTTCTTGCCAGCTTGTTGCAGAACTCTACAGAGGAAGCTTTTATATTCCTTTCTTTCTCGTTCTACCTCTTCCTCCAACGCATCGATTCATGGAAGCAAGGAAGGAAGGATTCCCTTCTAAATATTTCTCATTTCTCCAGCTGTTCTTGGAGAGTTTTAATCTCCGTGAGGAGCTCCCGTTTCTCCCCAGCGTGCTGCAGAACTCTGCAGAGGAGGCTCTTGTACTCCTCTCTCTCGAACTGCAGCTGTTGTTCCAAAATATTTATTCTGTAAAAGAGGAAGACAAGAGCGAAATTAGCCTCCTCAGGTTTTCACTCCAACCATCCAACTTGTTTAAAATGAAAACTCCCTCAAAATACCTGGCCCTTTCTCACCTCCTCTGCCTCTCCTCCAGCTCCCTGCAGCTAGCCTCTCCTGCTTAAAAGAAAAGGTTATTTGTTATGGGAGAGAATTGATCTCTCAGCCTGATTCCTTCACTTAATAAAATGATCATATGAAAATTTGTCATACTTAGTAATGGACACTCAAAACATTCCCCAGAAGATTTAGACTGCTTACATGAGGGGTATGGGGGGGGGGGTGATGGACCGCTGAGGGAGAGGACCTTCATATATTGGGAGCAACTGGCCGGCCCATGAAGTCTTCTGCTGAAAAGCCATGGAGATCGTAAGGAAGTTGGGCCTGAGCACAGGGAAAACCCTCAAACCCAGTTAATCCAGGCCCCCTCATCTGAAAGAGCCATGTTTACTTTCATGGTTTGGGTCCTAGATATTGGCTGTAACTATATAGTACATACCTCCGTGTGTCTCCAGAGGCCAAAGTCCAGCTGTTCTTCTGGTACCACTAGAAAAAAAATAGACTTCTTTAAAAACACAAACTTATTGACAATCATTCTTACACCATCTAGGTTCTTTATTCTCAAATCTTAGGTGCCAGCTGATATTTCTGCATCTAATCTCTTCACACTTGCTGCTAAACTTAAGTAGATAATACCTCTGTCTTTTAATTGCCTCCTACCTCTGTTTCTCCGCTGGACTTTTTTGTTGAGTCTATAAAAAAAGTTTCCAGCCATTTCTTCAGTGTAGCAGTTGAGAATGAGCCAGGACAGCCCAGCCAACGTCTTATGACATGTGCTGAGAAAGCTGCCTGTCATATTATAATAATGATTGGCACCTAGAAGGGAAAGTCCTAGCATGAACATTTTCATTCGGAAAATCGGAAGATAGGTTTTGGGGTGGGTGAGCAGGGAGCGGCTCAGTTCAAGGCCAGTTTGACCTTCCTTTGAAAGACTCTTGGAATCTTGTGCTGCACAGAAGGTCCATTTATATTGGGAAGGAAAGTTGGGTCCTGCCATCTAGAGGTATCTGATTCAGCCATTATTCAGGGAATTACAGGCTGTGTGGGTTTTTTTATGCTTCAGATGATCATGAGCCTCTTAGAGCCAGACTTTTCCAGTTTTTACTTTTTTTTTAATTTTTAAAATTTTTTATTGATTAAAAAGAAATAGAAACAAACATATAAACAACAATGCAACAATGCAACAATACAACAATACAACGACGTTGTTGACCTCTCTTTTGTGTAGAAGTTGAGCAAGGAGACGATGTTATTCTGCACTTCTCCTGCTCTTTTCAGGGAGGGCTGGATGTTGCTGAGGCAGAGGATGATGACGAAGGGGGGGGGAGGGGGAAGGGAGGAGGGCAAAGGGGGGGGAGGAGGGGGACGGGGACGGAGTGGGAGAGAAGGGGGAGGAGGAGGGGAAGAGAGATATACGGGAAAGGGAGGGAGATAGGTTTTGGGGTGGGTGAGGACATCTCTGGGCTTCCTCTAGAAGGGAGACTTCCTGCTGCCCTTCATCCTCTCCACCCCCCACCCTCCCAGTTCACCCAAAAAGCAAGGCAAAGGGCCAATGGTGGAGGAGAAGATATTCTGGGCAAGGGAGGATGGGCTTGCATCTCTGCTGTTGTTAATCTTCATTTTAAATTGCTCCCTTGCTCAGTTTCTCTTCCAAACCTTTGCAGAGCTCCTCCTTTTCTGCAATGAGTTGGACATTGTTCATCGTAAGCTCCTTGTTCTTCAGCTGGAGAGCTCCTCTTTTTCTGACCTCAGCCTTGAAATTTCCATGGTCTTCCTGTAAATTAGGAAGCATAGAGAGAAATTGGCCTCCTTGCTTTTTTCTCTTGAAACGTGAAACTTTTTCTTAAATTAAAAAAATATGAAACATAACTGTGTGTTTTGTGTCTGTGTGTTTAGCAATTCAGTTTTTGTATTTCTGCTGTAACCATCAGCAGTTTCTCCTTAAGAAAACGATGTTTCAACCATTTATGGGGTATATTAGAAAGAGTAAAAGTGAGAAATGAGTAAATTTTCATGGACTTGAGCTGACCCTGGACACTTCCACAGTATTCTACTTATGGTCGTATTTCCCATCCCTAAAAGATTTCAGATTGCAGGATCCAATCTGGGTCGATCACCGGGATCAGAGTTTCCGAGTTTCCTTCCGAGGGTTAACTCATCCTCAGGGAACGTCTCTCTACCAGAATCTCTGCTCTGGCCTCTCCCATTCATAGTATTTATGTGGTGCCTGGTTGCATGTGGCTTTTCATTGGTTGATTCGGGTGTTGATGGCCAACTATTAAGTCGTTGGCTGCTGATTCCTTAGTTCCTAAGTACCTGATAAATTGGTGGTAAATCAGCACTCCTGTTGACTGACAAAGCGCCCATTTCCCAGGCTTCAATCATTTCCCTGGCTATTTTTGTACTTACTCCACCAACAATCTTAGTTGCTGCGGAATTGAATGCATGTTCTCATTCATTGCAAAGTGAGGCTACCATTGAGTTCAGGTCTCCTCATCTGACTGCTTCCTTGGTGTACTTGCAATTTTGGTGGTTAGCTTCCTCCCTGTCTCTCCTACATGTCACGGGCAATCCATGCAGCGGATCCGGTAGATTAATTAGAAGTGTCTCCCAGCTGCAAGCAGACTTTGCAATGCATGACTTGTCCTCACATGGTAGCCTCTAGATCAATGGTTCTCAACCTGTGGGTCGGGACCCCTTTGGGGGTCAAACGACCCTTTCACAGGGGTCGCCTAAGACCATCAGAAAACACATATTTTCAATGGTTTTAGGAATAATTTTATTGTTGGAGGTCACCACAACATGAGGAACTATATTAAAGGGTCGTAGCATTAGGAAGGTTGAGAGCTACTGCTCTAGATGGTGTGTGATGCCCACTTGCAGATCTCGGAAGCTGCGTGTCAACTCTGAAGCGAGCCTGGCTGAAGCCATCTTTTGCTGCCTCATAGTTGCCACGAACTCTGAAAGGGGGAAGGGAAGGGGAAGTAGATCGACTGACTGCAGTCAAAACAAAAAGTTTTCTTGTGGGAACCAAGGTCATCCTAACCGGTGGCAGTTGAAGGAGGGGAGGAGTGACCAAGCAGCCTGCCAGCTACTTACATTGGACAATGTGACTGGTGGCATCTGGGGAGGGAAACATTTGTTCCTTTAATTAGGCAAAAATCCCCAGCAACATTTAGAGTTGGTTTTCACTGGCTGTGCCGAAAGGATGTATCCAATAAACATGTTCTTTGAGGAAGCTACCTGCCTTGAATTTCTGCTTTTGGCAGATGAATTACTCGGAATGCTGACATTAAAGTGTCCTGGCAGGAAGGACCACAACTACCGTAGAACAGAGTCCCCAGCAGTTTATCTGTGACTTTCGCTCCCATGCTTTTCTCCAGCCTCTCTTCTCCCAGACGAAGCTCAGGATCCCAAATGGAGAAGTTGCTTCTCCCCATAATTGTCACCGCCTGTGTTTTTGAGATCTCTTCTGCTCAGTCTCTTAGTTTGATAAGGTCTCAACATACACAAGGACTTGATGGAGCATCAGGAAAGAATATCACGCAGCATTTCTCATAATTAGCCATGCTATGCTTACAGCTTTTTTTATTATCATATCTGTTTCTTTACATCACCTGCCATATTCCAGGTGGCCAGCAGGTGGCAGGCCATTTCCATTCCATAAGACTTTTAAAGCAAAGGGTTTCATTTACCTTGATGGGCTTTGCACCCCGTTTTGCCTCCAGTGAGATAAGAGGGTTCAGAGCCCAACTCCATCTCCCGTTTCCCCCTTCTGTACCCCCATTCCTTTTACTTACCTTAAACTCCAAGTGGCCACGAGAGGGCAGGCTATTATTGCTATGCAGGTTCCCATAGGCTTTTAAAAATGGAGCCCCCTCTCCCCCCCTTGAGAAAACGATCTGTCTCAAGCTCCTGTACATCCTTTTGGCTCAGGCAGTGGAACTTCCCGCCGGTTCCCCCTCTCCGCAAAGCGAAGGGATCGCAGAAAGGCTGCCTAGCCCAGAATGGGGCTGCCTCCAACTTCAGAATTGGGAGGATCCAGAAAGAACAGGGGGACCAATGGGAATTCTCCCTTCTTGAGAGTCATCGGTCTCCGGGCAGACTTTCCCTTGACTTCACCCAATGCAGGAGAGAGTTCCATGCGGTTCCTCAGGCCAAAATCCCCTCTCCCACTTTCTCCGCTTCTCTCTCCCCTCCTTCAGGTGAAGCCCCCAAGGACTCTGCCCGGAGACCGATGACGCTCAAGCAGGGAGAATTCCCATTGGTGCTGCCACTGGTTCTGGCCCTTCCAACCCCCAAAGTCCGAGATCAACGCTTCCTCCCCACAATGCAGAACCGGGGATTCCTCCTCTGGGGCTGGAAGCAGTGGTGAAATTCATTTTTTTTTACTACCGGTTCTGTGGGCGTGGGTCGGTGGGCGTGGTATGGCTCGGTGGGCGCAGCAGGGGAAGGATACTGCCAAATCCCCATTCCCTCCCCACTCTGGGGCCAGGCAGAGGTGGACTTTGCCGGTTCTCCAAACTGCTCAAAATTCCCATTTCCCCCCTGTCTGGAAGCCTCTGACCCAGACGCCCATTTCATTTCCCAGAGGAAGAGGCTGCCGAAGGAAGAGTTCCTGCACTGGATCCCAAGGGGGGAGGGGAAGCCCCACAGCTAGCGAGGACTTGGGGGTCACAGACACCCCCCAATCCAAAAGGAAGCTAAATCAGGAAGAGGCGGAGAGGATCTGCAGGGATCCCTCCTACCGTCTCCCCAGGCTCACCCCACTTTCCCGGGGAAATCCTCCGCTCGGCTCTCTCGGGAAAGGCGCAGCTTCACTTTATGGGAGAAAAAACACGATTTCCTTCCTTGAAACTCGCATCTCTCTTGCTTGGAATGACTGTACGACCCGGCTCCTTCCAATTCTCCGCCCCTCAACCCCAAATGTGAAGGAACCGCCCCCCCATCATCTCTCATAGGAAGAGGAAGACTGCCTCTTCCTATGGAAGCTCAGCTAAGCTAGAGGACTGAGCAAGACTCACTGATGCAACTCTTGCTCAGCCTCCAGTTTGATTCCCTTTGTGTTGAGATGCTGGGGGGGCGGGTTGTGTGTGTGTTGCTGTTGTTGTGGCAACATCCCTCTGTCAGCTCCCTGTGTTTTTGCTGCTCAGGTCCAGACCTGAGCAGCAGTCTCGTTTGATGGTATTTAAGGGCAGAGAAAGGGGAGAAATTCTCTGCCTGGGTTTTTAAATGCAGACACCATTTCTAATAGCTTAATGGGGCTTTTTCAAGGCTTGTGATTGGTTGAGGCCCTGTGTGGTCCCAGAGTATCAATTACAGGGATTTGCCTGCAGTTCCTCAGTTCCAGTTTTAAGTCAATAGATGCTGTTGTATTATAAATGCTGGTCTGTTTCTTGCCTGCTGAAGCCCATTATAGAATAAAAACTCTCATAAATTGGCTCTGCTTCGACTCCATGACTGCCATGACTGAGTCACGGCATCTCCATTCTGTCTATTGTATAGTTATCTGCTTGTCTTTTCCCCTTGTTTTAAAAAGTTCCTGTTTATCGCCTCTTTCCTCTTTCTCTCTTCAAAGATAATCCATTCCCATTTGAAAAAGAAAGATTTTCAAAGTTTTGTAGCTTTCCAAAAAAAACACCCGATCATTCCAAATTGGTAATAGCAATGATTCATTAATGGGTCTTTTCCTTCTGTAAAGTATTTTACTAAATCTTCTTGCCCCGATAGTCTATAGCCGCTAATTAAGGCTAGGGGCACACTTGTAAATATCCATTATTTAAGCGCTGTTCCCACCTGGGTTGGGTCTCACTTACCCGGCTTCTGAACACTTTGCTCTTTCTCTTCCTTCTTCCTCCAGCACGATGCTTCTCCAGTTGGCCCCGGCTTCAAGGCATCCGCCACGGCTGCCATTCCCTCACCACTGACTCAGAGGGCTGCCTCCGGCCCCGAGGAACCTGCCCGTTCCTCTCAGCCATCCAAGGGGTCCCTCTCTTTCCCCCTGTCTCTACAGGACAGGGTCGGTCCACAGACCTGTCGGCGGCGGCTCGACAGTCGGGGTTTTTGCGGGGTTCGTGAGAGCCCCGCCATTTCCCCAACTGAATCGCCGTGGCATCAACCGGAAATCCTTGTCTGTCTGTGTGTTTTTTCAACTATGCAAAGTTCTGATAACTACTTTTTCATTAAAGTTTAATCTCTTCATCTCTTTTCACTTTTTTTTTCTAGTTAGGTTTTTTTTTTTTTTTTTACTAAAGTTCTTGGAGTCTGGCCACACTATTGCATCAGCCCTTTTACTTTCAAAATAAAGTAAATTTTGGTTCCAACTCAGCTGGCAGCTATTTCAGATCTGTGGAAGGCTCCAGCATTAACTGGCCCCTGGAGTTTTGTCTTTCATCACTATGCAAACAAATATCAGATTTATTTGTTTCTTCAGCCGCAGGTGTTGTATATTCCCTCTGGGGCCAATTTGAAGCATGGATCCCAAACCTCTCAATTCTAGATGATGGATTTAATTCCATCTCTGCCCCTGTTATTATGAATCACATGGGGATTATTTCCCTTTCATTTCCCTCCAGAGAATTTCCCAACAATCTCCAAGTCCAAGAACTACTTGAATTATCCAGGGATCCCTCCTGAGAGGGAGAATTATGATAAAAGTTTCAGCTCTGCTCTTTGGCTGAATCCTCCAGGGGAGACTTTGGGCACAGAAATATGGAGTTTTGGGACAGGCAGAGTCTGTGCTCTTGAATGTATGTCTCTCTCCTTTCCAGGTGAAGCTGAGTGTTTCTCTGTGTTTGAAGAAGGAAAGCAACTGGATATTCCACCTTGTGAGAGTCCTTTGATTCTTCTAAATCTTCTTTAGAAATAGGAAAGAGATTGACTGATTGATCCATGAATTATGGACCTCCTGCTTCTGCCTCTGATGCTGCTTTTGTCCCATTCAGTCTCTGGGAAGCTGAGAATGAAATGCCAGCTGAGTTTGGAGAACCAGAATGGAAAACAACCACAGAGCTACTACAGACCAGGAGACCATCTCATTGGTATATTCACCAGTGGAAGGGAAAGATTACATACAAAGTTGCTTTTCAACGTGGCTCCTTCTGTTCAGTTTGTTTTCCGTGATCCGTAAGTCACTCAGGGTGATGGAGTTGCACTCCCTCCATTCTAACACTCTCCTTCTTTTCTGTTTTTTTTTTCTTCATTTATTCCTATATTGGGGAATATGTCCAATTTCCTGAATGATTTTGATTTCCATGCCTTCTCTCTTTGGTCCGATTTTGTGAAAGAGACTCAAAAAGGGGTCTGAAAAAATGCTGAAAGGCCTGCAGATTATTTTCCTCCCTCAGTTCAATCCTTAATTTATCACTTGAATAATGGATTTTATTTAAAGTAGTGGTGGAATCAGTTGTAGTCGCCGTACCTCAGCCCATTCCCATATTTGTGTAATTGATCTTTGCTTTTGGATCAATGTTGGTTTAAGGCTCAGTAGGCTTGTGGAGGATTATATATATTATATATAACAAAAGTATTTGTTGTGGCTGTTGATTATAATAACTTTTTTTTCAATAGGACTTCTTACGAATTTTTTTCTTGCTTACTATTCATTTTCAACATTCAACTGGCCAACAAGAATTCCCATCTCTTGCACAATCTCACACTTGGCTACAACATCCATAACAACTATGGGAGCACTTTCCACACTTCAGATGCCTTGCTGGACATGCTCTCCACTGGAGAAGCCAATGTCCCCAACTACAGCTGTGGAAGGAAGGAGAACCTCCTGGCTCTTCTTGATGGAGAGAAGAGAGAGATCTCCATCCAAACGTCAACATTAAGAGGCACCTACAAAGTCCCGCAGGTTTGTGTGTGTGTTTCTCCTTCTGGTAAAGTGAGGGGTGGGTGGTGGTGGATGAGCAATAGATGCAATCATGTCTTCTCTGTGGAATTCAAGAGCTGCTTTTCTCCATATTAGCAAAAATCTCAATATTTTACCCCATTATGTTCATGTTGAGATTAATCAACTGTGGGAGGCCCAGTTTTCCCCCATGTTCTTACATCAATCTGATGTTTGGGGCTTCAGAGAGAAACCACCAGCAGAACCAACCCAATCTCAGCCTCTGAGGAGGATCTTGGGGTGGGTAAAAGGACTCCAGCTGCTGCCCTCAGAGCTGATTTGGGAATTTACACAGTTTCTGCTTTGTCTACAAATAGAAAATATGGGCATTGGCATAAAATTTAATCTATGGAAACTGACAGACTCATGAGAACCAGGTTGGATTTATTAAAATCTAATATTTTGGACTTGATCTGATCAGAAATGTAACACAGCATTCTTCATTGCTTTTTCAGATCAGTCATGACATTGCTTCAGAGGCTCTGAGTGATAAAAGTCAATTCCCCTTTTTCCACCATATTCTCCCCAAAGAAGGATTCCAGTACCCAGCAATTGTCCACCTGCTCCTCCATTTCAGATGGACCCTGATTGGTCTCTTTGCTTCTGACACAGAGAAGGGAGAGAATTTCATGAGGATTGTTACTCCTGTGCTTGTCAGGAATGGAATTTGTGTGGTTATATCACAACGATTCTCAACAACTGGATACACAACAGCCCTCAGGGATTCCCTCTCTAAGTGGAGACAAATCAACGTCTTTGTTCACTTCATGGAAATGGATTCCATTTGGGGCAGAATTCTTCCTTTCCATTTAACATTTATGCGTCTGCCAGGACCCATTGAAGGGAAAGTCTGGATCCTCACAAATTTGATAGGGTATAAAATGAACAAACGCAGACTTCTCAAATACATCCATAGTATTTGGAACTTTGGTTATCTGGCAAAAGAAAGGCCAAAAGATTCTGCCTTTGAACCCCGTTTCTTTGTGGAAGGAAAGTTTCAAGATTATTATTTCCGCTGTTCTCTTTCAAAGAACGTCTTTTCTGTCAAAGGACGCAGAAGATGCACCCAGAAAGCCCCACTGGAGTCCCAGGAGAAAAGGAACAAGATGTGGGGCCCAAATTACTACCATCATTACAGTATGATGAAGACTCTGGCCCAGGCCTTAAATGCCGCTTATTCCTCCAGATTGAGGAGGGGAAGGAAGGGGGGAGAAAAGACTTTGGGGTCTCCAACGCTGCAGCCGTGGCAGGTATGGTTTTTTTTTTTTTTATTTGATTTATATGCCGCCCTTCTCCAGAGACTCAGGGCGGCTTACAATGCGTTAAGCAATACCCTTCATACTTTTTGTATATTTATACAAAGTCAGCTTATTGCCCCCACAAACTGGGTCCTCATTTAACCTACCTTAGAAAGGATGGAAGGCTGAGTCAACCTTGAGCCTTGGAGAGATTCGAACCTGCAGAAATTGCAGGCAGCTGTGTTAATAACAGGGTGCATTAAACCACTGTACTACCAAGGCTCCTATCGGGTTCCGATATGGATCCATTAATCTTAGATCCTTTGAAGGAGGAATCTAGAAGAGAAGGAGGGGAACCATCTCAACAGATCTGTCCAATTCAATTACTCAGGGAATAATAGTTCCAAAGAGTAGATACCATGGCATTTTTATATTACACACTTATTTGAAAATGCTGTATTCTTTCTTAAATGAATTCCTGTATTTGTGGGTTTGTGATGAGGATGGTGGAATTTCCCCTTTGTTCCGTCCCCACTGCAGGTGGGTCTGTGTGCAGCTCAACAGGCAGCTAAACCCCCCTCTTCTCCTCCAGTGAAAGGGAGTGGGGTGGATCTGGGTGTTTCATTGGGAGAAAAGGGCATGGAAAAACTGAGGAAATGCAAAGAGTGAGAATCAAATATAAATAGGAGACAGGCAGCATTAACTAACAGCCAACAAAGAAGCAGCTGGAACCTCTCCAGCGATGCTCCGTGTGAGGGAAGGAGGCCGTCTCTGGATGACCAGGTGTCTCGGTCAAACCGGCTGCTTCCGTCTCCTCCAAAGGCTGAGAGAAAAGGGAGTCTGGCTTCAGACCATATAGTTAGGCTTATCTGCCCCTGGCCACTCGGTGGGGCTAGAGCAACAACTGCACAATAGTTACATGAGGCTCTGGCACACGGCTCGACTGAGGAGCTGGTGGCCGCCTGGGATAGGGCGGCCGCTGGAGCTTTGGATCGGGTCGTGCCTTTGCGGCCTCTGACCCGGCGTCGATCTCGCCTGGCTCCTTGGTTCACCGAGGAGCTGAGGGAGATGAAGCGCCGGAAAAGACGCCTGGAGAGTGGTTGGAGGGCCAGCCATTCTGAATCTGACCGAACACTGGTAAGGTCTCATATTAGGACCTACCTGGTGGCGATAAAAGTGGCGAAGTATAATTATTTTGCCACTCTTATTGCGTCATCAGATAATTGCCCGGCTGCCCTGTTTAGGGTGACCCGCTCCCTGCTCCACCAGGAAGCGCGGGAGGACCCCTTGGAGGGTAGAGCCGAGGATTTTGTACAGTATCTGTATGACAAAATCACTCAGATTCGGGAACATCTGGACTCTGACTGGGTAGATTCAGCGGGGAGGACAGAGGCAGGTCTTGTGAGTACTATCTGGGAAGAGTTTGATTCTGTGACGCCCGAAGACGTGGACAGGATACTGGGCAGACTGAGCGCAGCCACATGTTTACTGGACCCGTGTCCCTCCTGGTTGGTGCTGGCCTCTCGGGAGGTTACACGAGGCTGGCTCCAGGGGATTATAAATGCTTCCTTGAGTGAGGGTGTCTTCCCTGCCGCCTTGAAAGAGGCGGTGGTGAGGCCTCTTCTCAAGAAACCTTCCCTGGACCCGGCAGTGTTGGCAAATTATCGTCCAGTCTCCAACCTTCGCTTCATTGCGAAGGTTGTTGAGAGTGTGGTAGCGCGACAGCTCCCCCAGTACCTGGATGAATCATCGTATCTGGATCCGTTCCAGTCGGGCTTCAGGCCTGGGTACAGCACGGAAACGGCATTGGTCGCGTTGGTTGATGATCTCTGGAGGGCTCGGGACAGGGGTTGTTCCTCTGTCCTGGTCCTATTAGACCTCTCAGCGGCTTTTGATACCATCGACCATGGTATCATGCTGCACCGGCTAGAGGAGTTAGGGGTGGGGGGCACCGTCCTACGGTGGTTCTCCTCCTTTCTCTCTGACCGGTCGCAGTCTGTGTTGACAGGGGGGCAGATGTCGACCCCGAGGCCCCTTGTATGTGGGGTGCCACAAGGGTCGGTCTTCTCGCCCCTTCTGTTCAACATTTATGTGAAGCCGCTGGGTGAGATCATCCGTGGTTTCGGGGTGAAGTGCCACCAGTACGCTGACGATACTCAGCTGTACATCTCCACCCCGGACCACCCCAATGATGCCCTTGAAGTGATGTCCCGGTGCCTGGAGGCCGTGCGGATCTGGATGGGGAGAAACAGACTCAGGCTCAACCCATCCAAGACCGAGTGGCTGTGGTTTCCGACATCCCGATATAGTCAGTTGGCGCCATCACTGACTATTGGGGCCGAGTCATTGCCCCCCACGGAGAGGGCTCGCAACTTGGGTGTCCTCCTGGACTCACGGCTGTCTTTAGAAGAGCATATGATGGCCGTGGCCAGGGGGACTTTTTATCAGGTCCGCCTGATTCGCCAGTTGCGTCCCTTTCTGGATCGGGACTCGTTAAATACGGTCACTCATGCTCTTGTCACTTCCCGCTTGGACTACTGCAATGCTCTCTACATGGGGCTCCCCTTGAGGAGCACCCGGAGGCTCCAGCTGGTCCAGAATGCTGCCGCGCGGGTGGTTATGGGAGCGACGTGGCGCTCCCATGTGACCCCCCTCCTGCGCGAGCTGCACTGGCTCCCGGTGGTCTTCCGGGTGCGCTTCAAGGTTTTGGTTACCACCTTTAGAGCGCTCCATGGCATCGGACCGGGGTATCTACGAGACCGCCTTCTGCTACCAATAGCCTCTCACCGACCAGTACGCTCCCATAGAGAGGGGCTCCTCAGGGTGCCGTCGGCCAAACAGTGTCGACTGGCGGCCCCCAGGGGGAGAGCCTTCTCTGTGGGGGCACCTACCATCTGGAACGAGCTCCCCCCAGAGATACAGAAGATCCCGGACCTGCGCACGTTTCGCCGTGCTCTCAAAACTTTTCTATTTCAGCAAGCTGGCCTGGCCTAACTCCCCTCTTTTAAATTCTTAAATTTTAAATTTTTTAATTCGTGATTTTATAAATTGGGTGTTTTAATCTGTGTTTCGGCCGAAATATTTAATAATTTTAAGGGATTTTTAATATTTGTATTGTCTGTATTTTATCTTGGCTGTTCACCGCCCTGAGTCCTTCGGGAGTAGGGCGGTATAGAAATTTGATTAATAATAATAATAATAATAATAATAATGTTGTGGCATGACAGCCTTTATAAATTTGAAGGAGACCCTGAGACCATCTAGCTGAACCCCTCCTCTCTATAGGAATCCCAGTTAAAGCTTCTCTGACTGATGGCTGCTCAGTCTTTGCATTCTGACAATCCATGAAGAGGAGACTGAACTTCTCTGCTTTACTGGCTCAGCTCTAAAACAGCAAATTCTCCTCCAGGCTTGGTGCCTGCAAGGGGACCTGGTCCTTGAGTTGGGGTCTCCCCAAACCAGAACATTCACTTCCTGAGATTCTTATGGCTGCATTTGCCTTCTTTCCGTGAACATCTCCCTGCTGACTCAGATTCTGTTTACCTTATTTTTCGGACTATAAGATGCACCTTTTCCCCCCTAAGAGGGGGTGAAAATTTAGGTGCATCTTATACACCAAATGTAGCCCTGCTGACCCACTGGCCCCCACCCTTTGGCCTCTGCCTCCTTGCAAGCAAATAGCAAGAAAAAATAGCTCCTTTCAGCTTCAGCACAGCCTAATTAGCACAAGTTGATTGGATCAGCCTCCCAATACTTAGCTCATTTGCTCTCAGCTGTTTTGCGCAGGGCTCTGCTGCTTGCTGCAAAGAGCAGCTCGAGCAGATTTTTTTCCCCGTGTGCTAATCAAGCTATGCTGAAAACGAAAATGAAAGTAAAGCAGGCTGTTTGCTGCAACTAGGCAAAATTACTCAGAGGCAGAGGGATATTCCTTTTTCTTCTTTTCCTCACCAAAAAAGGTAGGTGCGTCTTATAGTCAGGTGCGTCTTATATTCCGAAAAATATGGTAACTACAATTTTGAGATCATTTTCACAAACATACATATGAAGTTTGGTGTCCCTCATCTTTCTTCCAGTCCACCATTCATTTTCTTATATGAGACTCTGTTGTTAGTCAAGTCCTAGTTGCTAAAACTCAGATATTTTTCTACTGCTTTTTACATATACACCCTTCTGTGTGTGCTGATGATAAATATTGTTTCTGGAAACTTGATATTCCTCTCATTAAATTTTATTTTATTCAAAAAGGTAAAATACAAACTTCAAAAAATAAAACTATTACAAAGTCAGAACAAAATTAGATGAAACATTTTTTAAAAAAATTGTGCACTAAAAACAGATAAAACCACATACGCATATATTCTTTCCCAGTTGAATACTGACAGATGTACATTTCTCCCCCTTGCAAATTAGGCCCACAATTATAAACTTCTACCAATATATTTGCAACTACTTGACTTGTCATCTGTCTGCTGTATATAAAAAATGTAGTTAACAGCAATTAAAAAAAAAATTAAATTTCAAAACTTCAAAACTGTCTGTTATCTGCTATTATATTTAACTCTCAGACAATTTGCAGGGGCTTCTAATGAACCACAAACCACCACAATCATTATCTCTGATCCATCCTGAATCTGTTCATGATTCAATATCTTTGTTTGATTCTTAATAATATTTCATTTCCTTAAAACTTTAATTAGGATCTTTCCCAGCAACTGATTTCCATTCCCCAAAGTCACAGGACCTCCTGTAAATTGAAACTCAATGACTTTTAAGATTTGTTTTCCGGTTAAGTATGACACGTCCATTCCCCAATCTCCCTCAATCTTCTTGAAAGAATCCATTTCTTCAGTCATCCGTTCTGCCCACTCTGAGTCTTGAGGGTCCATGGCCTCTCCAGCCATCTCCAAGCAGCCTCCCTTCAAACCAGACTCCTCCTTCAGGGATGCCAGCAGCAAATTCAGTTCCAGTCCATCCGATTCAACAATTGTAGCTTTCTTCTGATTATCATCTTT